ACTGTGGTACATTTGCTGATGGTTAACTATATGATGAAATTGCTAAACTGCAACAAAATAATGTATGAATCTAGCAAGTAACCAGATTTGCTACGGTGCATGCTGGGAAGACAGCAAACACTGCCAATTCACTTTACAACTAGAATATCTAAGCTGCTAAACATTTCAGGTGGAGGATAGTTCCTTTTCATTTGTGGGGCCGTACCAGCACACAGGATAAACCTGGCAGCTTGCGCTTCCCTCTCTGCAGCCTTAACTCATACAAGGGCTAAATCCAAGCACTCTTTCAACTTACTGCTTTGAGCCACATGCAAATCCCATACTTCAAAGGACACAGTAAGAAACCGTGGATTTTTGTTTGTTTTCTTGTTCATTTTAAAAATTTCAAGCAAACTATGCTTTAGTAAAATAATTTCCATCTGGTCAAATGCTAATGTTTTAATTATGGAGCTTCCCAAGGACAACAAAACTTTAATGCAACATGAAAGAAAATGACAAATACTTACTAGAATAGTTTCAATTACTTTTTTTTCAATTGACAAAAATATTAATTCAACATACCCAAAGCCAAATTAAACTTTAACAGATATTGCTGAACTACTTGCGCTCCAAAACATAAAGAGAGCTCAGGGTTTTAGCTGCGAGTGAGCCCTTGCCCGTCACAACACTGTGCTCAGTCACTCCTGATGAGCAACCACGAGCTCATCTGGATGGCTAGACCTGGACCACACCAGCACCACGCCANTTTAGCTGCGAGTGAGCCCTTGCCCGTCACAACACTGTGCTCAGTCACTCCTGATGAGCAACCACGAGCTCATCTGGATGGCTAGACCTGGACCACACCAGCACCACGCCACTTCCCTTGCTTCTTGTGTTTCCACATTACTCCCAAAATTAGCCAACGGAAGCTAAATCTTAAAGTTTTAATAAAGATTACAATATGCCATAGGAGCAGACATGCCTTTAAAACATTCTTTTATGCATGTCACTAAAATCAAAGAGTTTTTGTTGAATATGCTTGTTATATTTTACCAGTTAAAGGGGTCAGAATTAGGCAGCACAGAGACGAGACAGCATAATGTAAAACGCTGGATACCGAGCCACACAGAGAAATGGGAGGAGAAAGACTGTGGTCTTGATTAGCAAAAACTTCACACATTAGTAGCAGATATTTGAAAATTATCCAAAACAACCACTGGTTTTTGAGTTTTTAAATAAGCCAAAGTGAGGAAAATTTAAGTAGACATAGCAGGCTGGCTCGTTAGCTCAGCTGGTTAGAGCATGGTGTTAACCCAAGGTCAAGGGTTCGGATCCCTGTACCAGCCAGCTACCAAAAAAAAAAAAAAGAATAGCAACTATTAAGTTTAATTACTCTTCTCTCTCTTTTTTTTTTTCCTTTTTGTCTTTTTTCGTGACCGGTAACGGGATCGCAACCCTCGGCGCCACGCCCGTACCTCGACCGGCAACGGGATTGCAACCCTCGGTGTCGCACCCGCACCGCGCTCAACCAGTGAGTGGATCGGTCTCTATATGGGATCTGAACCCTCGGCGGGAGCGCCGCACTCTACCGAGTGCGCCACCGGGCCGGCCCACTCTTCTCTTTTTTCAAATTCAACTTTAAAACTCAAAGTGAGGGCTGCCCCGGTGGCGCACTGCTACAGTGCGCCGCTTGGGAGTGTGGCGGCGCTCCCGCCGAGGGTTCGGATCCCATATAGAGACCAATCCACTCACTGGTTGAGCGAGGTGCGGGTGCAGCACCGAGGTTTGCAATCCCGTTGCCGGTCCCGGTCCGGTACAGGCGCGACACTGAGGGTTGCGATCCGTTGCCAGACACGAAAAAAGACAAAAAAGGAAAGAAAAAAAAAAAACTCAAAGTGAATCCTTTCTTTGCCTAAAGTAGTATGTGAGCTTGGTGTAGTTGGGCCGAGCCCGTGGCGCACTCAGGAGAGTGCGGCGTTGGGAGCACAGCAGCGCTCTCGCCACGGGTTCGGATCCTATATAGGGATGACCGGTGCGCTCACAGCACTCACTGGCTGAGCGTGGTGCGGCCAGTCTCAAAAAGGACAAAAAAAAAAAAAGAACTTGGGGTAGTTGGTTTAGAGCTATTTCTGTTTGAGGAGGACTGATGACAAAATGTTGCAGGTCTTCAGTAGTGGCAGTAGGAGTGACAGGAGCTAAAAAGCCACCCCTGCAACTGACCACGTGCTGCCCAATGGACAAATGTAAAATGGGAAAAAGGACAGAGAGAATTTACCCTGTATTTTATGAAAAATAAAGGGATGTACTGTATCTCATTTACATTTGAAGTCTCCTTTCTACACACAGGTTGGTAACAAGGAATAACAAAGAAACTAGCTGCTGGATCATCTGTCAAGGACATGGTCAGTACATAAAGGACCCCAAAGAGCCAGCTCTGCCAGAGCCATCACAAACACTGCTCTGGAGCTTCTGCTACACAAGGGCAGAGAGGCTTGATGTGGTCCCAGGGCTTTTTATTTCACTTAAAAATGTGAAGGTTCAAATAAGAGTAAAATATATTATGCTGTATAAAACTCTCGAAAAATAGTCATAAAACACAGAGTTATTTAAAATATTTTTAAATAATCATATCAATAAAAAGAAAACTTCAAATTTCTCTGTACAGAGAAGTAACCCCCTGACCATCACAACGCAGCTTTGTGACAGGTGCTGGAAACAGACAGGTCTCCCGGGTCCAGGGGTGACCCAGCCCGAGTCTGCGGCCCTCAGTGCTCATGGTGGGGTGTGCAGGAAATGGGCAGTGATGTGCCTCCGTGGTGGGGTGAGTCCATCATGGCTACCTGGCCTGGCAGGAGGCTGCTCTGCAGTTGGATGAATGAGCCAATGCTCTTCTGATGGCAGGGAGGCCCCAGGAGGAATGCACATATGGGTTCTCAGAGTGCCTCCTGCACATGGAGAAAGGAAGCGGCACTGCCCCTGCCGTACAATGAGGTCACTTGAAGAGACAAACACCCACAGGTCCCTCTGATCTGATGCTGCATTTTGAGTTTGTTGTCCTTTCAAAGTTACTTCTCAACTGAGATCATGGTGTGATCTATGCATCCTACACAAGATTGGAATCAATGATCAGAAGCAAAGTGCCCATCTAAGCTGTTAATTCTTGCAGAGTGCAGGAGGCACTCTGAGAACCCATATGTGCATTCCCCCTGGGGCCTCCCTGCCATCAGAAGAGCATTGGCTCATTCATCCAACTGCAGAGCAGCCTCCTGCCAGGCCAGGTAGCCATGATGGATTCACCCCACCACGGAGGCACATCACTGCCCATTTCCTGCCTACCCCACCATGAGCACTGAGGGCCGCAGACTCG